ATAAACAAGTGGTCTGCTTTGCTTTTCTGTTGCTGTGATAAACCACGCTGACCAAAAACAGCTCCGAGAGAAAAGGATGTATTCATCTTACACTTCTAAGTGTCACTCCATCATCGAGGGGAGTCAGGGCGGGAGCCTGGAGGCAGGAACCAAAGCAGAGACCACGGAGGAGCACTTGCCTCCTTAGATTTGTCCAGTGTCTTAGCTGTCCCAGCTATGAGTACCAGAAAAAACAAACAAACAAAAAGCCTCCTTTGCTTTCAAGGACCGAAGTATTTCTCTTTTTATTAGCAGTTGCTCTATGAGTCATAGAAGACATGCATCAGTTATGAAATCATGCATGAACCTGTTCTCAGGCTCAGTGTTACACACACACACACACACACACACACACACACACACACACACTCTCTCTCTCTCTCTCTTTTCCCTGCCTGGGTCATTCTGGATATCCCAATTCTAAGGATGCAGATGGCTTCCCCAGAATACTAGATGATGCTCCACCCCATCTCTTCCCCGGCAGTCAATATGGTCTTTCCAATCCCATCTGATCACATTTCTCTATGCCTGGAACACCCAGGTTTCAAGAACTCTCCCTGACCCTAGAGTTAATTGTCCAATGGTGGGCCCAAACTCTTTTGTTTTTACTGAGCTGTCTAAAGGTCATCTGGACATGAACATCAAGACCACTTTGGAGATGATGATCTCAGAGACCCCTCAAGGTCTCCAAGATAAACTTTTCATTCTTCTGATGTACATTTTTATTGCCCCTTTGCTATGGTTTGACTGTATCACCAGAAGGAATGTACTGGGAACTTGATCCCTAATGCAATAGGTAGAAGGCGCAACTAATGCAGCAGGTGGCAGGTGGGTCTGGTGCAACAGGGGGGACGTAAGGCTTAATGCAGCAGGTGGGATGTGGGCTTCATGTAACAAGTAGGAGGCGGGTATCATGCAGACTGTGTGGGGCAGGCCTCATGCAACAGGTTGAGGGGAGGGTCTAATTTGAGATGCCCGTGTCATGAAGTCTTCCTTCTCAGGCATGGATATGCTTCGAAAAGACTTTAGACTGAGGGTTTGGTCTGTTTCACACACTCTCTCTCAACATGTGGCTCCTATCTTTTACAACACAAGGAAGAAACTTTCCAGAAATGCCCCCTCAATTTTAGCTCTCCTCCCTCCCCCCCACCAGAACTGTGAGACAATATGTGACGGTGGATATTGTCACCATGGCAAGCTCTAGACTCACCCCAGGACACAAACTTCTAGACATGTCTGTGCCGGGTTTTCTAGATTAGTTTGAGGTGGGAAAACCAACCCTAAATATGGAGGGCATCGTTCCACAGGTGGAGACCCAGAGCAAATAAGAAAGGAGAAAACAAGCTGAGCACCAGCATTTGTCTCTCTCTGCCTCCTGACTGTGGATGCAGTGAGGGACCAGCCATGGCTCACTCCATCCACCTGGCTTCCCTGCTGTGAGCCCAACCTCCCTTCCTTCAGCTGCTATGGTTGGGCAGTGAGAAAAGGAACTACTAGGCAGTACATTCTGTTGGATGTGAATTTCCCTGTCCCAGGCATTCTCTTACAGCAACACATAACAGATCGAATCAGCCACATGGGCTGTGAGCTCCAGCAGAATGTTGTGGGGGGAACGTTGTCACTAGGCTAGTCTGCTTGGACGCAGGTTTAAACTAATAGAAAGTGTTTACTAGCTGGCCGGAGACAAGATTGGGTATTTGGGATCCCAGTGTAGCCTGTTCTGGGTTGACACACTTCAGTTAACAAGAACAGTTAGCCGGAAGTGGAACTACAGAAGTTAAAAAGCAGGGTTGGGGGTGCTAGAGAGATGGCTCAGCAGTTAAGAGCACTGGCTGCCGGACCAGAGGTCCTGAGTTCAATTCCCAGCAACTACATGGTGGCTCACAACCATCCAAATGAGATCTGGTGCCTTCTTCTGGCATAAGGTCATGCATGCAGACAGAACACTCAGACATAAAATAGATAAGTAAATATTTTAAAAAGGAAAAGTTAGTATATTTAGAGATTATACCAGAACTGTGGATTTTGGTTGATTAGACCAGTGGTTCTCAACCCTCCTAAGGCTTTGAATACAGTTCCTCATGTTGTAGGGACCCCCAACCATACAATTATTTTTGTTGCCACTTCATAACTGTAATTTTGTTACTATTACAAATTGTAATGTAAATATCTGTTTCCCAAAGGTCTTAGGAGATCCCTGTGAAAGGGTCATTCAGCCCCAGTGGGGTCACCACTCACAGGTTGAGAAATGCTGGATTCGGCTTTTGTTTTAGTTTTGGCAGGTGATGCTGTCTATGTGCTGAGTTTTATGGCCGGGTGGTACTGCCACTATGGAGTCAGCTGTGCTGAGGTCTGGGGGTGTTAGAGGTTATGCACTCATCTAACATGAACCTTGTGGGCATCAAAACTTCCCCTACTATGTGGTCACATAGAAAATTAGCAGCTTGGCATTGTCTTAGGTATTATAAACCCAAGTTTTAACACTAAACGTAAAGGTAAAATTCTAACACAAAGAAGAGACTGGAGAGAGACCAGCTGCCTCACATTCCAGCCTCCATGGTACTGATGGTCTTCCGAGCTGTCCTCTACAGTGCTCTTGGGAAATAAAACATGTGAAGGACTATGTTTTGTCTTGGTTAGTTCTTTGGGCAGGTAGTGCAGGACAGTGACTGAGGTAGATCCAGGCTGTACCCCAGCCTCAAGGGGACTTAGGGAAGTGACTGGAGGATTCTAGGAGCTGTTGTGATATTGAAGGGGCTAAGAACACACACACACACACACACACACACACACACACACACACACACACACACACACACACTACCGCCACTGTTTCGACCTCAGTGCGGTTCTTGACCATCCATAGCATGCTAGTTGCTGTTCTAGTTTCTTCCCTGTGTGAACCCCTCTGATTCTCACATCTGTCATTTGTGTGTCTCTCACTTAGACATGTGATCTCTCTGATGTCCTGCAGATCTGGTAGGCACGTGGGGAAGACAGAGTTAGAGCCTGGGGCTGTCTTGCTCAGGGTTTCATTAAATATCTGCCATGATCTGGTAGTTCTAGCAAATGGCCTGTAGATGAAGTTTTGGTCCCAAATGAACACACAGAGGCTTATATTAATTATAAACTGTTTGGCCGATGGTTCAGCCTTCTAATTGAATAGCTCTCTCTTAATTATGAACCCATTTCTATTAAACTATGTGTTGCCACATAGCTGTGGCTTCCCTGTAATGCTCCGGCATGTTTACTCCTTCACCAGCTACATGGCGTCTCCCCCACAACTCTCTCCCTCTCTCTCTGTTCCTCTTTCCAGAATTCTCCTAGTCTGGTAGCCCCACCTGTACTTCCTGCCTGACTACATCCTGCCTGTCTATTGGCTGAAACAGCTTTATTCATCAACCAATAAGAGAAACATATATTCGCAGCATACAGAAGGACCTCCTCCATCAATGGCCCACTTTCTAGTATCTCTCCTTGCCTCTCTTCCCTGAGTTAAGAATGGTGTTTCCCATTCCCCTGGAAGAATGTGTTTCCAATTAAGTTGGGCTGGCAGTGCACAAGAGGTAATTAGTGACCATGGCCAGATACCTCTGGTAATCTATGTTGACATAAGTTTCTCAGAGAGTAGTTTGAACTCTCAATGACTCATATACTCTTTCGCCTGTCGTTTGGGACAAGAACACTAACCTCTCTTGGTCTCAGTTTCCTCTGGGTGGCTATGGCAGTGTGGTAACAGCTGTCTGTCCTCTTCACAGGGTTGCTGGGGAGCAAGCAAATGTAGGTGGCCTTGGCCGCAGTGACGGAAGCGTTTTGCGCAGTCTGGATACGTGCCTTGTGTTGTGCTGTGGACCAATTGTGGGTTCTTCATTCTTACAGAACCTGCTGTTGTGTGGGGAAGGCCCGACACAGGGGCATGGGCAGAGGCTGAGCGGGGTTGATGGTGCAGAGACAGGGAAGTGCAGGCCAGAGAGGTGCTTGCTGTAGGTGGGGTGAGGAAAAGCCACCATCAGGCTGTGGTTTTGGAACTGGGACTGTGTGCCTGAGGCTGCCCTTTGAGGATCTCAGTCCATACTACTAGCTGGACAGAGATCCTTCCCCTAACAGAGTTCTCATGCCTGTTTCCTGGGACTGTGGATCTGCAGGAGAATTCCGTGGCTGGAGGACCATGGAGAGAGGGGGACTTGGAGGGTGGATCCTCCCTTCCCTCCCCCACATTTGACTGATAGAACTCTCTCTGGTCTACACCACTGAGAAACAGACCTCCCCCCAGAAGTCCTCCTGAAAAGCCTTTGTATCTTTTCACAACGCACAGCTTTTCACCCATGGCCCTGTCTCTTTCACACGAGGTTACACTTGTGGTCAAGCTCAATTAAACATCTCAGGGCAGTGAAGGCTGGAGGCAGCCTTCTGGAGTGTAGCCAGCTGACCTTGAACTCCATGGTGGAGCAATAGATCTTTATGTGGGCTTAGGGGCTGTCCAGCCTGGACAAAAAGTTGGTGACTGAGGGGCATCCACATGGCCACGGCTCTGACTGAGCTTTCCGTTTGTTTGCAAAGTGACAGTGACCTCCATTTCACCACACACTGATTATATAGACTCAGCCAAGTGCACATAGACTTGTATCCTTTGTCTTGCACTTCATCATGTCACAGGGACTCTCTGTCCCTGCTCTGTGTGACCATACAGTGTCACCTTCATCATGTCACAGGGATCCTTCGTCCCTGCTCTGGGTGACCATACAGTGTCACCTTCCTCATGTCACAGGAACCCTCTGTCCCTGCTCTGTGTGACCATACAGTGTCACCTTCATCATGTCACAGGGACCCTTCATCCCTGCTCTGGGTGGCTGTCCAGCACATCCTCTCTTCAGGTTGTCATGACAATTGCTGAGCTGTTTCTGGACAGGGATCAGAAAAAGAAATGGGGAGGACACGTGTTAAAGCCAGACCATGTGAACTCCAGGATTCCAGGGGCTTTAATGTCTCTCGGGATGACATCTTATAAAAAGCACAGCTTCTGTCCCCCAGAAGCTAGTGGCTGGGAACTTTGCTGATACGCCGTGGAAAGTGTTGTCAAGGATCCATTACATGGATCATAATTATATTATAAGCAAAATTATAATAACAACAATAATAAATAGAATCCTTCAAAGTCCAGTAGTAATCCAGTAAGAGTGGGCTAATGATTGTGGGAGCAGGGACATCTCAGTCTTGGAGGGTGGTCAGGTGCTCGACAGGGCTCTCACTGCCTCCCATTGTGGCCTGCCTTCAAGCTTACGGGGGTCTTTCTTCTCAGATCTTGGCCATTTGCCCACTGGTGTCCCAGCAATCACTGAAAAACAGAAAGACAGTAAAGACGACGCGCCCCATTTCACAAAGTAGTCACCAGATCCCCAGGGAACAACTGAGGGAAAATGCAGGGGAACTATTCCTTAAGCAAGTGTGTCCTGCAGAGGAGATGCCCAGAGCTCTGTTTGGCCAGGAAAAAAGCGAGAAATCAAATCTCTGAGTAAGGTTGCTATTTTCTCTTATCATTTAATCAAAGGTGTATCTGGTGTGGTAAATCCAGAAAAGACAGAAAGTCAAAATCAGACCAAAACCTAACTCTAAGCCCTTATCCTGGTGTTGTGCAAGGAGAGATGTGTACATTCCTGTGTGTGGCTTTGGGGTGCACTTGTGGGTGTCAGTACACACATGCACAAGCTTGCAGGACAAGCTCTGTGCTGATGCTTCTCTCCCCATGCTGGTAGGGAGGGCTTGCTAAAATCATCGTTCTCCTCTACCGAAGCTTGGCAATAGGTGTGACTCAGGTCACCATGGGTCTGGAGGCTGCCTGGGGCCTAGCCTGGGCACGGGTGTGTCTTAAGATCCCTTGCTCATGGGCTGTCGTAATGAAGGCCACACCACATGCATCTCACTCCAAACACACACCCCGTTTCAGACAGTGTATGGGGGCCCATGAGGTTCTGAACCTACAACAGGTTTTGGCTCCTTATGCCTCAGGAACAACACGGATATTACATTCCTTTAAGGAAAATAAAAGTCTGATCTTTCCAATCACCCATTTGATATTTACCAGGCATCCCGAGGCTGCATTTGGAACCTGTGACACAGACCCTTCCACCAACCCATCAGATGCCCTGCCACGTCCAGGGGGTTTTCTGTATCCAGGAGTTTGGAACTGGCTGGATGCAGCTTTGAGAAAACAGTTCAGAAAGTTCCGGATCAGAAAACTTAAATTTGCTCTGCTCTGATCCCTGTGTGAAGTCACATGATTATAATGGGTAGGCCTCCTCCCAGAGCCTCTTGCATCCCTGGCTTCAAGCACTCAGGGGAAGTTGTGGTCTTGTGGATGTCACATGCTTAGGCTTTTAAAATGGCTGTCTCTGTGCTGAACATGGCACACACACTGTTTTCTTGTCATTGCCTCGTCAATGACACAGCGATTCAAATTGTGTTGGGCAATGGAATTAATCTAGATTGGATATAAAGTGTCTGTGGAAGCCAGGCGTGTTTGTGCACACCTGTGATCCCAGCACTCAGGAGGCTGAGGCAGGAGGATTGCAAGTTTGAGAATACTCTGGACATCCTGGGCTACATAGGAAGACCCCGTATCAAAACCAGAAAGGACTAGAGAAGTGCTTAGTGGTTATGAGCACTTGCTCTTGAGAGGGCCTGGGATTCAGTTCCCAGCATCCCCCACAGGATGGCTCACAACCACTGTAACCCCAGTTATACAGGATTTGATGCTGTTTTCTGGCCTCCTTGGGCACACTGCACTACCCCCCACACACACACATACACACAGAAAGAGAGATGAATGATGAATGTCTCTCATTTCATAACCTGGATGTGGCAAGCCCCAATGTCAAGACCAAATACTAACAATGAAAACCACCACCAACAGCAACAACAGTAAAAAACAACAACAACCAAAAAAAAAAAGCAAAACAAAACAAAACAAAAAAACCAGCCAAACCACCATGATGGAACCAATGACATTTGTCTCTTGATGTTGACACGTGGTGTTCACTTTCCCATATTGCATCAGGACATGGCAGAACTGACAGTTCATGACTTCTAAAATGGATGGCATCCATCCTTCCTCCTTCTTTTCACAAATCACCCACTTGTTCCTCAAGACTCAGTCAGCACACCCTCTGGAGAGGCTCAGATATGAACAGGATGGAACACTCCCACCCCCACCCCCATCCCCACTACCGGTCAATGCTACTCTTTCGGCAGCCTGGGTAAGCATCTTTGGAGTGGACTGGATGCTCAGGCTACAGTTAAGCCTTCGGACAAAACTACAGCCTTGGCGGCTGATTACAGCGAGAGTCCCAGTGTCACTGACTGACACTACCGAATCACTGAGTTTGGGGACTCACAGAATCTGTGATGCTAATTGTGTGTGGTGATTCCTTTTAGGAGATTTGTCATTTAACATTAGACGGCAAAAGGGGCACCTTTTGTGGCTTCCCTGGTGTGTGTGGGGAGATGTCTACATTAGCTCCACCTGCCAAGGGACTTAATCCTAATAACAGCCAGACTGTAATGCCCATGAGGTGAGTCTTTTGACAGATGAGGCTGCAGGAGCAGCAGGTGTTGGCTTGGGGTCAGGGAGACAGAGGATGGCAGTGTGAACTTTTGAGCTTGGTGGAGTATACCCCAAAGCTCACACTCTCAGCTACAGTGCTTATTATATTATTATCTTATAAATGCACAATGCAGTCCTGTTTATTCAAGTCGTGATTGATCCCACGATGGTGAATGAGGCCTGCCTCCTGCATGCTTTAAGGAGGGGAGGCTGCAATGAAGGCTTCAGGCTTCTTTTTAAGTGTACACCCCCACTTCAAATCAGGCCCAAGGACCCACCTGCTTCCTGCCCCCTGCAAGGCTGAGCCCTCCCTTAGGTCTCTCCCACACATGGGCGTCTGTCTCCACTGACAGCGGAGACATGGGGTTTTTGGACACACCCATGCGCCCTGTTCACGTGGAGGGATTGCTGGCTATCCAAGGCTGGCAGCATGCTGGCAACATTAACAGGAGACATTTTTAAAAAATCACGGATGCTCAATGACGCCTTTGGAGTTCTGGTTCTTCATATGTCAACATTAGTTATACATCTACTGTGTGCCTCTCACCGTTGTGGGCATGTGGGCATGTCAGTCCCTGAAGTGGTTGAGATGGGGCCACAGGGAGAACGATGAAGGGGACCCCAGATAAAATAGCAATTTAGAGGGCAGATCGGGCTCGGAGACAAGGAAGACAGCACAGGGGACTGAGGATTTCCTGGGAGGATGAGAGCAGACTGCAGCATGGATGGACCTGTCAGAGGAGACCTCAGTCAGAAAGAGGGGTTTGCTTAAAATGGAAGGCATGTGGGAGAGTTTCCAAGATAATTCCTAGAAAATTCCAGGTTGGGTCCAATGAGATGACTACATTAGAAAATGGCTAAACAGACATCAAGGAATTTGTTAACACAGACAAGATCTGTTCTGTATCGATGGTTCTCACTTGAAGGTGATTTGGGTCCTAGTGGGGGGACATTTGACATTCTAGATGTTAGGCATTGGGTAGGTTGCTGACACCTTGCATAGTTCAGGGATTGACCTAGCTGGAGACGACAGGGAATGAAGAAGGGCAGACCCAGAAAATCTGGGATCAGGTGGGTGGTGCACTCAGATGGAGGTGTCTGGGGTCGGGTGGGTGGAGCACTTAGATGGAGGTGTCTGGGGTCGGGTGGGTGGTGCACTCAGATGGAGGTGTCTGGGGTCGGGTGGGCTGTGCACTCAGATGGAGGTGTCTGGGGTCGGGTGGGTGGTGCACTCAGATGGAGGTGTCTGGGGTCGGGTGGGCCGTGCACTCAGATGGAGGTGTCTGGGATCGGGTGGAGTACATCAATGGGGAAGCCGGACACTCAGTGCATTTATTTTCTGTATCTGAATGGAGGCAGATTCATTGCACACAGCTGAACAAGGAAGGGGGTCTCTGTAAGGGAGCCATCAGGGAGTAAATGTCCAGGAGGAGGAAGTTGGGATTGACATTTTCTGCATGTACTGCCAACATCCCCACAGGAACCCAGGGAATGCTTTGCACTCCTACAGGTCTGAGGTATGGCTGAGCTTATGTATATAACACATCCACTCAGGCCTACCTCTGCTCTCCACAGGGGATAGAGGATCACTGCTAGACATCACACGGAAGCTCACCTACATAAAGCAGGCCCCAAATGTCTGGGGCACTGAGGCTGAAAAGGTTGGGGCGACCTAAGCTAGCTCCTGATTCTCGTTGGAAATTTCACTTGCCTTGTATGTCTCTCCGGATCATAAGCAAGGGTCTTCCCCATCGCCCCTGAAGACAGTCATTGTCCCTTCTATGTGCCTTGTCCCAACACCCCAGCTCAGGCATGTGCAAAAGCAGCACAGACAGGCCAGTGGGGTCTCCTTGCTGAGAGCAATCCCCAAGGTCTGGCCCAACTACCAGTGATTTGTGGGTTACTCAAATTCTGTGGGAGGCCACAGTCACAGCTGGGTTCTCCTTGACCGCAGCCTTCCTCCTCTGTGCCGCATGAAGAACGTGATGATAGGCCCGTGGGCGCGAGCTTGGAGGCCAGACCACAGGAGAGAGCGCGTATGCCGAGTGCTTCATTATATTAGGGACTTGAGAAGAAATGACACTTTCCTAGGACTCTGTGGTAGATCACCTGCTGAGCAAACACAAGGTTGTGGGTTCCCCGCCAACCACTGCAAAAGAAAACATTTCCACAGTTCTTCCGACATCGACTGCTGGAATCTCTGCCCTGCCCCACATCAACTGTGCGCGTTCCACAGCATGGACACGTGCCCTTCTGCCTCCGACCCACAGCTGGCCGTGGCTGGCTGAGAAGTGGGCCGTGGGAATGTCCTGAGACCCGCCAGCCTCAGTATTTCACCTCATGGCAATTTATGAGGAAGAAGCTGAGCTGTGTTGAACCCCAATTTCATTGGCATAGCCTGGGGGTCAAGAAGGATGAAAGGGTATCCAGTTTTCAGATTTCAGGTTTTCTGGGGTCTTAATGTGAGCCCAGAAAGGGCTGAGATCTTTACTGTGTCCATCCTGATACCCATGCTTGCTTGACTTGGGCAAATCCATAGCAGAGGGTTGATAAGAGCTTTTGATAATGAAACAGGTTTGATGACACACACTTGTGTAAGAGGCAGAGGGGGCGACGATCATGAGTTCAAGGTCAGATTGGCTATGCAGACTGTCTCGATAGATCACATTGTGGAAGCGAATGCCATGAAGAGACTGGGCCCTCCCATGGGCTGCTCTGTCCCTCTGCTTGTTGAG